CACCGCCACCACCACCACCATGGTTACCGGATACTACGTTTTACTTTCGCTGCTCATTATTGTGTGTGCCGCTGCCCATCAATTCTATACTCTGATTTTAACAGTGACTTTCGACAAATCATCACCTCTGTAGCGGTTATCCAATCGAGTTTCAATACCAAAAATTTAAGTCGTAACGAATCTCCCGGTTGGATAACCGCGTCCAGCTGATGATCTGATAGAAGTCACGGTATTTGAATCTGAGTATACCAATAGGAATTGATCGCCTCGTCAGCCGGTGTACGTCCGACCTCTGCCGCTGCCTACGTTGCCGGGATCATTTACCCCGACCGTCGCTGCCATCGCCGCGGGAGAGGCGCTTTCACGCGGACGGCGAGAGGCCGAGGCCCCGCAGCTTCCGGCCGCGCCCACCCGCTGCGCTCCTGCAATCGCTGCTCACTCCCACGCGCCCCCGCCAAATGCAGCCAAGTGTTTTTGGGTCCCGCAGCAAACCTTCCGCGATCTTTTTCGGCGTCTTTGTTAATTAACATACTGCAAATCAGGTCAATCCATTACTTGTACATCCTTTTTACCAAAAACGTTTAGAGTATCTGCAGTGAACAATAATGCAGTTGACTCTCGTTATAATCTTACGGTGGGACTGACATGTTTGCTTCTATGGATTAATGGTTTCCTACTTCCGATAATCTCAAAATTCAACTGAGTTTTTTTGTTTATGATTGGGTTTATCATTTTAGGAATACAGTAATATACCCAATCGCCGGAAATTCAAAATTTCAATATTTTCCTGCTTTTTTTACACTGTCTTCTACATTGTTTAAAACTAAATATCTTACTGAGTACATTCCCTTTAACTGTTCGAGCACTTCAGTAACCCATTCATCAAATTCATATCATTCAATTTCTTTCGTGTTCTTTCATCGCTTTCACTGAGTCCTAGCTACATCAGAGTTCACGCGTTTTCAATTTGTGGTTCGCGTCCATGAAACCTACAGGCCGGACAGTACAGCCACTAATGAGCTGTAGATATTCTCTCAGTTGCAAAGATACCCAATCCCTGTACTTTTGCCATAAATGTTACAAAAAAACTCACATGAACCTCTTAACTGCAAACCCTTATTGTTAATGCTTTCAGTACAAAAATAAAACTTTTTTTTGAAATTTGTTTATCCTATGTTCACTAAAACCGAGGTAGTTTTGAAAGTTGTCTATAAACAATTTTGGTGTGTATTACTTATTATATGTACCTGTGATTTCAGTTCATTATATACGATAGTTCACTAATCAGAGTCGACTGTGTTATATGTGACATATTAGGGCAGATTTTTTTAAAATTCCTTTCCTCGGTGAGCATTCATTGAACAGTCATTTCTAAATAACAATTCCCGATATTGGCATACAGTTTTCGCTCAACAATGCTGAATCATGGGGCAAGTAATGTGGTGTAGAGATATTGTTTGAAATATTTTTAATCATCTTTGATTTTTTAAATGGAACCATATATTTGTCTCACTAGCAATAGGTAGATCATAAAACGAGGAATGCAGTGGTGTAATATATGTTGATATTTTGATAGTATTTTGTGCATAAAATTGTACTTTCTGACCTGAGATTTTTAATTGAACGTACAATCGCTACTGTCGCTTTTGGCGAACGTGTCCTTCGCGGCTTCCCCCCTCTGCTCGTAAAAGTGCCGGCGCTGCGAAGGCAACCTTCACCAAAGGAGACTGTTGAAAAGGTTGCTACAACTAAACTTGTTTATTTAATTTAAAATCACATGACGGAAACTATAATTTTATACTCAAAACATCAACATATGTTACATCATTGCATTCGTCTATTTATAATCTATCTATTGCTAGTGAGATAAATACGTGGTTCCATTAAAAGAAAGTAAACATGATTACATTAATCGGAAACAAAAAATAGTTCTAACAACATTTCTACGGCTCCATGATTCCACATTGTTGAGCGGAAACTATATTTCGATATCGGGAACCGTTTAGAAATTTTAGGGGTGGCCCATAGTTGGTATACGGGTGACCAGGAAGTGAAGTGTGTCGCTACAAACATAAGTGTTGTACATCAACATCAGTTGTTCATATTCTATTCCTGCCATATTTTCCATAATTTGATTTTCACTATCCGTTGAATAATTTCTCTGGATGTTTAGAAATCCAGTTAAAACCCTAGAAATGAACTTCCCTCTTTCGGAAATCGCCAGCTCCGGTGTCGCCGAAGCTATATTATCGAAAGCGCTCCCGGTGTCCTAGTACCCAGCCCCCGCTTCGACTCTCTCGGGAGCACCGTTCCCAGAGCCGCAGATTGCGTCCACGGAACCAGCGCTCCAGTGCCTCGATATAAATAAATCTCTTTTAGCGATCGTGGCCAAAGCCTCACTAGAGAAAGGAACTCTCGAATAAATAGTGCGCCTATATTGGCATTGCTGTGGAAGGGAACGTGACAGATATTCATAACGTCACCACTCTGGCACAAATATAAAGTAGGAATACTACTACAGCAAGTACTTCTTGTCCTTTTTGTTACGTTAAGGAAGATTTTAATACTTCTTGATCATTAATTGAAAGATTAAAGGGTTACATTAAAAATATAGTTGTGTTATATTATTCGATACATGTGTCACCATCCCTACAAAATGTTTAAAGAAAAAAATTGTGGGAGATGGACGGACGAAGGAAGGGAGGAAGGAAGGAAGGAAGGGAGGGAGGGACAAACAGACCTATTCCAGACTAAGCCAATTTCAAAGACACACAAAACGTTGATTTTGACTACACATCATGCAAAAAATAAAAATTGGATTGCAACTGCCACTTAAATCACCTTGCGCTCTACATCAAATGACAAAAACACAATATATGTATATTTCGAGGCGATAAAGGGGATCTTCAAGTTCAGTTAAATTACGCGGAATGAATATAGAACCATTACATTTTCAACTTTGCTTCCACAATAGATACACACGTTTTTGCATTGAACAATGCCGTATGTGTAATTTCTATATTGGGCAGCCCCCAGTATAGTTTGTTACATTGCGTTAGGTTTGTAAGCATTTACGGTTTACACGCCTTGATCGATGGACTTACATCACCGACAGTGATCATGCAAAAAACAAAAAAAGCAATCTTTCAACACTGTTCTCACGCAAAATCATACCTTCTTATCCTCTTTTGAGTTAGCAATAACCTCGGCACACGCCGATCCCTTTACCGGCCCCATTCGTTATTTCTTCAACCGATACAGATTTAAACGCCTTCCTGTCTTCTCTGCCGACAACTTCTGCACAGCCTTCTTCACTACATACCGTCGCCTACGCTTTTCATAGACTCCCTTCCGTTACCTGTCCCTTGAATTCCTTTCAGGTGGCTTAAGCATTGCCGACTCCAATAGATCAAGCAATGGTTCTTTCTTCGTCTTCCCTTTTGAGGGGCGACAGCCAGTGCGGGCCACCGCGCGCCTCTCATGTTTTAAGCAAGATCGACGCGCCGTTGTTCCCGGCCCCGAGACCCCCGGTGAAACTTACATTCCTTGGCCGCGAAGCGCGGATCGGGAATCGTCGCGGGTCATTTGGAAAGCTATTGAAGTCGCTCCGTCGCCATTTCAATTCCCCTTACGTATTTGATTAGAGTTGGTTATTTTGGCGGG